ATTTAATATTCTCTTTCTGCTCTTATTTTAATACATATATTCTTTATTGTGCTGCTACCGAATCACTCACTAACTAACTATCATATTGCAATTATTGTCTTATATATATTCAACTACGTGTCAATCATTATTAGTATTACTTATTAACTAGCTCAATACTACAGTTTCCTAAACTTTTTCTCTCATTCGAAATTTAAATTATTGTAGTTTATTGATATTTTCTCTTTCATTTTCCAGCAAGGGCAAATGACTTCAAGTAATCCCAGCCACCGGACAATTATTTTTATCATAGTTTCACTTTTTCTTCTGACAACTCTCAAAGTATAGCTATAGCCCGTATATAGACCTTCAATGATGGAATGATAGCACCATCAACCTACCTTAAATCAGTTAAACATTTTAATATTATAAATATTTGGTTAACTTGTAAATGGTTTTTAGGCTGAGTTGAAATTCAAGAATTATTCCACCTAAACACATAATAATTAACAAAATGAAAGAAAGAAGTACTTCATGCATGAGTTATGTGAGTTGTATTTTCATTATTTATATTTTCTTCACTAAAGTATCATCGTAATTCTTCGTACAAAGGTTTTTGCATAGTTATAGTGATGCATTAAAATGCTTTATAACTGCGGAGTGCTGGCTAATCAAAATTTGAAGTGATAGAAAACGTGCATAAGTCTTTTAATCTTTTCGTCTTATAACTGTCTTAGACAGATTTTCTACCACATCTGATGTGTCCTATAAAAGTGAAGCGAGTTTTAATGTCGTGCTATATATCATTATATTAAAGGCGGGCGTATTCTATATTGATCGGTAAAACATGCTACGTCAGCCAGTTTGAAATCACGCGTGCCAGTTTATAAAAAACTTAAATCCTAAGTCAATTAAAAAAGGTCGAATCTCGCGCCATGAAGGGTAATTCCCTTGCATGGGTAATTCCCCCGAAAGCGTATATCCCATGGCAATGCATAGCGAGGAATTTAAACCCGTACTGTTACAAGGGTTTTATAAAGCCATTTCGGAACGTTCCCGCAGGAGATCTTTTTCGCATATCATGAGACAATTTCCTGAATATTTTAAATTCCTTCCCATTCCTTCCCTGCCGTCATACTGCATAACTGTCTAACTTCTATTACATAAATCTTTATATCTTAGCCTTTATCATTATTTGCCTCGTTTAGATTTTATTCTATATCATGTCAAGTTTGAGGTATTCCTGTGTCTGTGATATTTTGAAGTCAAAATACCTGAACACCCGATCTATTTGCCGGCATACGAAATCATTTCTGTGCTCTACAGCCCGGCTCTAGCTTGTTGAAACAGACAAACTTTCATCCCAGTTTATTTCAGTATAACTATATAAGTCATTTGTTCTTGCTGTAAGTTTTCTCTCTGATCCGCAGCCGGATCAAAAGGCGGTGAACTTGAAAATCACAATTGATTATATCTCATTATTCACACAATACATAAACAAAGATGAAATGTCCACCTGTTACGCATTGTAACTATATATAGGCTTTTACTCAGAAGGCTTGATTCCTTGTAAAAAGCAAAACAATTTCCACATATATAACACTGATAACAATCTTCACAATATTAAAAGGCTATATTGGTATATAGATTTACTAAGAATCAGCTGACTAAGCATAAAATATTTTTGCATTTTTTGTCATTTTCAAGTTTAAGCATTTCAAGTCATTTTTGCATGTATATCAGTTGCATGACATTGTTAATATTAACTGTGATTGTTATATACCTATGAAAGCATTCAAATTATGATTATAAATGGTATAACTTTTGTGTTGGTTTAAGAAATATACGGCATTTATGTAATATATTATAGCCTAGCTGGCAAATTGTTTATCTTATCCCGCAAAATACTTGATAAATTGATAATGCTTGAATAAAATTGCATGCTGATACCATGCACACAAGAAACTGTCAAAAGGGAACGTCTTTCACGATTTCATCGACATAAGTCAGTGTCATTTTATTTTAATTCAACGCATTCATGTATTTACAATTAACAAGTTAATTCTTAATATTATACGTTAGCCTATATTTAAAATATCTTAAGCAAGTATTTACAAGTATTTACAATTATATATAACATATCATAATATCAAATAAATATAATATCAATATAATATCAGGTAGGTTAATACCACAAAGGCCGAAGCCATGCATATAATATATATACAAAATGATCGAAGCATGCATATATACAAAATAAAGAGTCAATCTCATCAAGCTTAGCTAACAACAGCTAGATGATAAGTCAGTAGTTTCCTCCATCTGACTAAACAGAGTAAATGCATTCTCGTGGCGACTAACGATATCATCAGTTGACCGCCTACGAAGTCCCTCGAACTCGTAACGAAGATGGCGTAGTGCTGCATCAATTTCACTGAATATTTTAAAATCCTTAATCAGCACTTTATACACTTTCAGTGAATCGTATCCTTTCTCTGTTAGATACTCGTCAGTGAGTTTACTTAATTGTTCCAATTTTTTCTTGAATTGCGTTTTCTCGGAATCGAGGTCAGGTTCATATTTCAGGACATATTTCATTATACCCATCGCCTCAAGTAAATAATTGTTCAACCCCGTCCTTTGGGTAACATCCCAAAGCTTGGCATCATATTGCAGGCACAGCAAACATTGATCACATCCAATGTACGCCTTGGAAAGAAACTCCTCAACTGGTTGATCTGCAAGAGATAGATAAAATAAACACATGTATATACAAATACGAAAGTTTGGTAATTAAATATATACGAAAGTTTGCCATACACAAGTGCTCTTTGTATCTTGGGTTAAGCTGTGTTCCGCGAGATTAGTCAACAAAACTTTATTGCTTAGTAATGACGTTTGCTGAAAATTATGCCCCGTAACTTGTTATGTGCACATGAGAAGTTCTATGGCGGTGACCTTACGCACTATAGCAAGTTCAGGTTTGGAGACGAGACATAAATATGTTCGTATATATATGAATGGTCATATTCCATGCAAAACATATATCTTGAATTACCTTCATCAAGAGCATTTAGGACTGACATCGTGCCAAGATTGAAGTCTTTAAAATCTTTATCGATCTTTCGACTACGAAGCTCTTTCACGAAATCTTTCAGCACTTTACGAGTCACCTCATCGAATAAGCGGAATTTCAACGACAACTGTTTCAGCCAATAGTCTAAGGCATCATTTGGATTTTTATCGTAGCACTCGTAAAATGACACTTTGATTGATTCTTCACGGCGATAAACATAACCATCTTCCTCCTCTTTGCGAGTCTTGTCGTTAATTTCGTCTTCATAAAATGATTCCGGTTCAAACGATCCTTCTCCTTCAAAATTCATTTTCAAACTGATTTTGAAAATCAGACGTTGTCTTTTAAAGCCTGCACATGTGAAATTATCATATCAAGTAGGTGCTTACCCTATAAATACCCATGTGATTTCATCATAGGGAAAGTCTTGAATATGCAAACAAAAATCAAAGAGTTTCGAGACGTGGTAAAATCTTGTGATAAAAAAAGATTCAATACAGCTCCAGGGATACCAGCATGTGATCCGATGCGATGATTGACCAAACACTTTCATGTTCTCGTTATCTCGTATGCCAATGTTTAATACACGTGACCAAATGCATGGGTAGAGGTACTTCCCCAAATTAAGCATGTGATTTTGATGGCATACTAGGGCTGTTTCCTATTAATCCTATGATCGAACAAAGACTAAAACCGGACGGAATATCTTGAAAATTCTTTTCGAATTTCCGTCTTTCTTTCGATCATACGGCTCCCCCAGCACATGCTTTGCACTTTGCAGCGGGAAGAGGAAGTTATAGAATATGAAAGGGCGTCACATAAACAGCAGCATGTACACAATCACTGGAAATGCTTTCCTGAGAAAACGAAGATCAATATTCCAAGTAAAACGTACTGTTGAACAAACAATGACGTCATTGTAAATGCCGGGATGCATGGATGATGAAATCACAAGAACTTGGGACACGCGGAAACAACTTCAATGTCTGTTAATATGTGCTGACATATATTACTTTAACATAAAGAGATATTAAGTGTGATTTCTTACAAGAATATTTCCCCATCCGACAAATTTCAAAGCAATATAGGGTATACTATATCACTATATCCTTTATCGTACAAATAAGCTTGTTGATATTGTTTAAATAATAGATTAGGTTAATCAAAGTTTTTGTCTGTTACTGCATGTTAGCTAAATTAAAGCGGAAATTCAAATTCGTTTTGCATTTTAAAAATTGCAAACATTTTGCTGTTTACATATAGTTTATAATTTTATTTTAAACGTCCATTCAACTGTTTTACTTGACTATCATGCTGTTCGCCTAATATATATGGCCTTGGAAATGCATTCGTGTTTACATTGAACTTCATATTATTTGGGACAAATGATCTATTTTTAAATTTGATCTCATGACATGGTTGATGGGAATGATGCGTTACAGCATATAAGAACGACCTTGCCACCTTCTTTGACTTTTAGAAAGAATGATCAATACTGGTGATTGCGTACGTGATATGTGCATGTGTATGTAAACATGTCTTAGGTTGCAAAATGTTATAACACACTTGCAGCCTTTATTAAATCTTCATATTTCGCTTATATCAGCTTATTTTCAGTCACAAATACCGTCTCTTCAGGTAGCTTGCATTATGTAAACTAACTTTCTGATATTGGACTGCATGTGTACAATTAATAACTATCAATCACTCAGTGTGTGTTTAATTCTTTATTTGTTGGCTTTCACTTTGACACACGGAGTTCAATGAAGCAACCATGCATTTCTATAGCAAAAAATTCACCATGAAAAGACATGAATCTACCATAACATGACTTGTCAAACTAGTGAAATACAGACGTTTCGGTCAGAAACAATGATCGATATTCATTATTCAAGTCTAATACGTTGTTTACAATAACCAACCTCTTTAATTTATTTTCACAAACCTGATTCATCATCGGTCTCTAACTTCTTCTTGATGACATCTTGTAGTTTAGGAGATGGTTTCTTGATCCTCACATTGTTTGGATCTTTCGGCGTGATTGGTCCAACTTGCCGTACAATGGCTAGAGCCTGTTTCTAAATAAAAACACTAAACAATTAGTTATCAGTTAATCTATCAACCTTGATATGCCTAGAGATCAAGAAAGAACATCCTGCATATTGATTTAGTGTCGATATTAACGAGGAAAATCAGAGAAGGGAACTGGCGTATTGTGTTCCGCAAACAAAAAAGTATAGTTCCTCCCGTAATTCTAAAATCATGACGTCATAGGCGTTCTCAAGATGTTATATTATACCTTTGCCTTATCTGGGTTGCTCGACGATTTGATTGCAAAATTTATCGAAGGTTTTTCTTCGAAGATTACATCATCATCAAAGTCTAAGCCACGTCCAAGGAGGGGTGTCGTTGGACTGCTAGGGTTACCCTTGGATGTCGAGGGCTTATTTGAAATTTTTGACCCAGAGGATTTATGATTTGTGGTATTCGCTTTAAGAAACTCTGAAACCGATAACATCGGCTTTGAATCATTTTCCTCTATAGAACGAAATTGAATCAATAATTTTTTGTGAAAAACATTATTTAACTGTCTGTGATAGAAGTTATATAGTGTGAAACCATTAATATGAAATGTTATAATGTGTACCAATATTTCCTACCTTTTTCTTTTTCATCCTCTTTGTGAAGATGTAATGTAAGGTTTCGTGAACCCACGGATGGGATGCTCAGCATACGAAGACTGAAACATAAATATTATCCTACATTATCATGTAGTCATATTTTTGACGTATCCCAAGAGTCCCTTTGCATGGCATGTGTTGTATGCTTTAGGCACAATAACGTATTTCAGCTGATCATTTATTGCTTCCAATGCATCCTACACATGCAAATTTAAAACGGGCCTTAGTTGGTCCGGCTTAAACTTCAAATCACAAATCACAGATCACAAAGATACAAACAAGACACGCGTAATAACGATTATCAGTACATGCACATACTGCACGAGCAACAGCCAGCCCGGCCGCCCGCTCTTAAAGTAAATAACTGGTAAACTGCAACTTACAAATCTTCTGAAGATCCACCTGTGTTTCCCGATAATTCTCCTATTAAAGCAAGATAATTATTATTATTCTTATTAGGATGACGAAAATATAAGTGTGCATGTTTACAGTCACCGTAGTATTAAACATAAAATTGGGTTGAAAGGGTCATGAAAGCTAGGGTCATGCAAATGACCAGGCTAAGTTTGGACGAGGTTAGTCTCCAATCCAAAACATGTCTTCTAATAAATGTGGATCGTTTCAAATCAAAGATTGAAGGATATATAGGTTAACATACGTAGATTGGGTTAGGATTATACTCCGAATTTGTTGGGTTGGATTAAAGTTTATCGTTCTGGGGCCGGTTGCTCGAAAGGCGTTTTACTTAAACGGTGGATAAGTTCAAATTGGTAAACAAAATTATGTATTTATTGAACAACTCAGCTGAAATACTTCGATGTAAATAGCTTAAGTGTCAATGAAAGTACATATTTAATGCATAAGATGCAAATTCAGTCATTCACATGATCTATGAGAGTATTTTTAAACTTTAACTTATCCACCGTATAAGCTAAACGCCTTTCGAACAACCGGCCCCTGAATAGTAAGGATCAGAGCTGAATCGAGATTGAGCAATAATTAACCAAACCTGCAGAAATCTTTTTCTCGTTTTGTTTCTCTTTCCAAGCCTTCAAATAGTTCTTCCCACCGGAACTTGACGCAGCCAGACTTTTCAATGTCACTTTTTCTTTAAGAGGAGCGCTTGCGGGAGACGATGATACCAGCTGACCTCCATAAAAGAAAGACTCTCCGGCAATTTTCTGTTTCAGTTTACTTGAAGGATATTTAGATGGCGCGCCGTATCTGAATTTGTAGGGAAGAACAGTGATAAAAAAGCGTCGAAAAAAGTGAATATTATCTCTTAACATAAAACTGCATATATATAATAGCTACAACTCTATGAAAACATATCACAATAATTAAATGTCGAAGGTTTATAGGAAAAGGCAGATCAAAACATACGATTTTTAGGCCGAGAACGTTGCCGTTGAGAAATATGGAACCTCATTTCTTCGGCAGGAATCAACCATAGACCTTTGCGATTCCGAAGCAGTGCTTCATAACCATTAAACTACGGAGAACTTTCATTGTGGAAGAAGCTGTCGTGGTTTTACACAAGATAACTTACCCTTGCTGACATTCCATTCTTTTTGATCGTTTCTTTGAATACTCACGCTGAACATGATATTGACAGAAATTACCTTGTGACCTAAAACAGAAGAGAAGGTCGCAGCGATACGAGAAACCAAAGTGCGGAGGATGTGAATTACATCACTCCCGACTATAGAATCACAGAGCCTGGGGTCGGCGTGTGAGAACGTGATGCCAATTTAATAACACCCCACGAATAATTTCATCTTATATTTTTTGGTCTGAGGGATAAGTGGGGGGCGAATTCTCAGCACCCCGGCATCCCTCTTGCTCGGAAATCCATGCCTAAGAAGCAGTCAGACCAGTATGACACACTACGAGTTCATCTTTTATTTACGATAATTTTGACAGCATGCCTCAGGCTTCACGGTTGACTCGAAGACGAACGTCTCCTAAACGTACTTGTTAACAAAATTTGAGCATCTCTTTCCGTCCGATTTCCTTGATGATTGACAGACACCGAAGTCCTGAGACATTCCAATCATCATCAATTTCTTTGGATTGTCCAGACTGAAAGCTAGTTGACTCGATTGTTTCTATAAAAATGAACAAAATCGGGTTTTCAAATTCAACAGTTTTCTAGTAATTATTTCGATACTTAACATTTTTGTTGCAACAAGGTTCTTGGAAACACGACAAACCTCTCTTGGTGGAAGCACAGATGGGTTAAGCAGAGCAACAGCACTTCCTTCGACAGTTTTCCAATGTTCTTTGTGGCTTTCGCCGAACAAAAATAATGATATCGTCGAGGTTTGAAGATGAAACGCAAGGTCAGATAACTTCCAAATACTGTAGGCTTCACCCTGTAAAGAAAATACAAAATTTTGTATAAACATTGGCATCATTTGTATAAACAATGCCTTGTGACAATGCCCTGGAATGGTTCACAATTGACACAACAGCTACAATAATGCACTACAATTAAGTAGGTATACATATATAAAGGCGGTATATTTTTGGTTCTCCTGTATTGGTTATACAGGGTGTCCCAAAAAAACGAAAACTATTGAAATCACTCATTGTTAAAATTTGAATGCCGTGTTCACGAATTTCAGCCCGTGGGGATTTAATGCAACTTATAATTTTATATGTTTATATGCTTTGTGTTGCTAGAGAAAGGGACAGGTCGAAGGTCATGGTCCTTGAGATGCACATTTAAATATTGTTATCCATATTTGTAAATTGTAAATATTGTTAATAAATATCATTTTTGCGAACAAGCAAATTATACTGCATCATATATGCATGCATAAAAATGAGTATGGTAAACATTTATACATCTGTGGGTCCCAACAGAGTGCTTAGGCATTCAAACTCTAACAATCACATTGTTATGGGTGTTTTCGGTTTTTTTTTGGGACACCCTGTATAATGTTATTAATATAATCTTATGAAAAACAATTTAGACAAGTTTCAAGCCGCCAATTGTTTCGGGGAAGCATAGCTTTATCCTAAAATTTCCAACTTCTTGAACGATATAACACCATGTTTTTCGAAATGTTCAATGGATCAATCGAATATTTGTGTCTAGAGTTTAATGGCATACAGAAATACATAAAGAAGTACGGAAAATTGAAAGAATATTTTAATTGAAAATAGTTTTTATTTTTTAATACCAGATTTGGTCGGCTGCACACAGACAGCCCCCCCCTGATTTTAATAATTACCAAATTCATACCAGGTGGGAGCTGTCTAGCTAGAATTGAACAGCTTTTGTTAAAAAATTGCATATGCATGGTCATACTGTATATAGAACATTAAAGGCTATGAATAAAGGACTAAAAAATGTAGAAAAGTGGAAGAGAAAAAAAAAAAAGATAAAACTGTCTAGTTCACATGCAGCTAGTGTAAATGATTTAGTCGCTGGTAGTGAACTCCAAGCGGAAACACATTTGAGTATTGGGTAAAACCCAGCTATTGTTGCTTTTCTAACTTTCTAACTTTATTTCATGTCCAAAACGCACGCACAGGGCGGTTCAATTAAATGACGAAAAATTCATTCAATAGTTGTCAATTAAATGATTCTTTCGTGCGGAGAGGTTTGCGAAAATTTTGCGCGCGAAATATTTTTTCACAGAGCGATAAAATTTGTTAATTGAAAAGTATGTTTTCACTTTCCTCATTATCCAAACCCTTCCGACGCAGGTCGAAGTTTACCGAAGGTACATGGTTGGAAATTGAGAAAATTCGAGACAACGATGGCATAACGAGTGAAAATCAGTTAAAGATTTCACAAAAATATGCAGGTAATCCAGACGTCAACTGTTTCTTTAGTTTTTCTGGCTGACAACCACCAGATTTGATCGCGCTAACTTATTGTTTCGTTGTTTTTATTATTCCAGAGAGACTTGCGTCTGTTGGCGGAAAACGAGAAATGTCCGAAGAGGAAAAAATGTACTACGAATTGTTCGGCGTCAACAGCCAAGCAGAAGGTTAGTGAATTTGAGATGATTGTTGGACGATCTTCAACTTTCTATTTCGTATGAATTGTAGGCAGATTGAAATGATGGTAATGAAACAGAAAGGCAAAGAAAAATCACATGTGCATTGGATGACATTTAGCGAACAATTATCTTTGCATTTCAGGATGTTTAATGCTTTTTTTCACCTTTTTTTCCAAGAAGAAGACAACGGTAGAGATAACTTATCATGCTGTGACACAGTTCACACAGAAGACCTCACACGTCGAGGCGTAACTCGTCAAATCGGTAAGTTCACTTATAGATTTCTACTGCCATCAATATACCGCCACCAGACAAAATACCTTTCGAAGTTTGAAAATAAATTTCAGATAAAGACTGCGCTGGTAAAATAAAATTAAACTTGTAGACTGCCTGTGAAAAGGAGTGTTGATATATATTGCTGCTGAGCGTGAAATTCTTTCAGTTAGACAATGTTATCCGGGATATCCTTAAATGTCGACCGCGATGCTCATTAATAATACAATTCATCTAATTTCCAGCATCAGAAAGTGCCTTCGAGTGTCGTCAGTGGGCAAAAGACGATTACGAAAGAAAAAACAGACAGTTGAAATTGAAGTCGGGCATTTCTGACACGCCTGCACAACAGCTTGCGAAAACAGGGCAATATGTCAATGCAGAGAGCTTCGACTCAAACGTCCAAAAAATGCCGGAGAATTGGATGTAGAACCTCTTTGTGAGGTAAGAGAAACTAATTAAGCATGCATAGGATACACTTTCGAAAAAGAAAACCAGGCTAGCAAACTTATTTAATAAAATATCGCTCGCTATCGAAAGTTTTATTAACATGGGTTCTTTACAATCACTTCAGCTTGCCGAAGAAGATATGAAATCCAAAAAGAAGAAACGTTCAAGGAGAATGAAACGAAAACACAGAAAAGTCAAGCCTTTATGTGATTTGACTACAGGCAACGACTCAGTGAAACCTGAACCTTGTCCAATGAAAAAACCATCTGATATCTACAAGATGTTTCAAGGATCAACGACAAGACAAACACGTAAACACAAACGAGTTCCAGTGTCCACACAAACGAGTTCCAGCGTCCACACAAACGAGTTTCAGCGTCAACAGAACGAGTTCCAGCGTCCAAATAAAAAAGTTCCAGCGTCCAAATAAAAAAGTTCCAGCGTCCAAATAAAAAAGTTCAAGCGTCCAAATAAAAAAGTTCCAGCGTCCAAATAAAAAAGTTCCAGCGTCCACACAAACGAGTTCCAGCGTCCACACAAACGAGGTCCAGCGTCAACACAAACTAGTTCCAGCGGCCAAACAAAAGAGTTCCAGCGTCAACACAAACGAGCTCCAGCGTCCACACAAACGAGTTCCAGCGTCCAAACAAAAGAGTTCCAGCATCAACACAAACGAGTTCCAGCGTCCACACAAAACAGTTCCTGCGTGAACAAAAACGAGTTCCAGCGTCAACACAAAAGAGCTCCAGCGTCAACACAAACCAGTTCCAGTGTCAACACAAACGAGTTCCAGCGTCCAAACAAAAGAGTTCCAGCATCAACACAAACGAGTTCCAGCGTCCACACAAAATAGCTCTAGCGTCAACAAAAACGAGTTCCAGCGTCAACACAAACGAGTTCCAGCGTCAATACAAAAGAGTTCCAAGGTCCACACAAGTGTTCCAGCGTTCACACAAATGAGTTACAAGTCCACACAAGAGTTGCAGCGTCAACACAAACGAGTTTCAGCGTCCACACAAAAGAGTTCCCGCGTTTACACCAACGAGTTCCAGCGTCCACACAAACAAGTTCCAGCGTCCACACCAACGAGTTCCAGCGCACACACCAACGAGTTCCAGCGTCAACAAAAACGAGTTCCAGCGTCCACACCAACGAGTTCCAGCGTCAACACAAACGAGTTCCAGCGTCAACACAAACGAGTTCCAGCGTCAACAAAAACGAGTTCCAGCGTCCACACAAACAAGTTCCAGCGTCCACACCAACGAGTTCCAGCGCACACACAAACGAGTTCCAGCGTCAACAAAAACGAGTTCCAGCGTCCACACAAACAAGTTCCAGCGTCCACACCAACGAGTTCCAGCGTCAACACAAACGAGTTCCAGCGTCAACACAAACGAGTTCCAGCGTCAACAAAAACGAGTTCCAGCGTCCACACAAACAAGTTCCAGCGTCCACACCAACGAGTTCCAGCGCACACACAAACGAGTTCCAGCGTCAAGAAAAACGAGTTCCAGCGTCCACACAAACAAGTTCGAGCGTCCACACCAACGAGTTCCAGCGCACACACAAACAAGTTCCAGCGTCAACACAAACGAGTTCCAGCGTCAACAAAAACGAGTTCCAGCGTCCACACAAACAAGTTCCAGCGTCCACACCAACGAGTTCCAGCGCACACACAAGCGAGTTCCAGCGTCAACAAAAACGAGTTCCAGCGTCCACACCAACGAGTTCCAGCGCACACACAAACGAGTTACAGCGTGAACAAAAACGAGTTCCAGCGTCAACACAAACGAGTTCCAGCGTCAACATACAAACGAGTTCGAGCGTCAACACAAACGAGTTCCAGCGTCAACACAAAAGAGTTCTAGCGTCAACACAAAAGAGTTCCAGCGTCAACACAAAAGAGTTCCAGCGTCAACACAAACGAGTTCCAGCGTCCACACAAAAGAGTTCCCGCGTTTACACCAACGAGTTCCAGCGTCCACACAAACAAGTTCCAGCGTCCACACCAACAAGTTCCAGCGCACACACCAACGAGTTCCAGCGTCAACAAAAACGAGTTCCAGCGTCCACACCAACGAGTTCCAGCGTCAACACAAACGAGTTCCAGCGTCAACACAAACGAGTTCCAGCGTCAACAAAAACGAGTTCCAGCGTCCACACAAACAAGTTCCAGCGTCCACACCAACGAGTTCCAGCGCACACACAAACGAGTTCCAGCGTCAACAAAACGAGTTCCAGCGTCCACACAACAAGTTCCAGCGTCCACACCAACGAGTTCCAGCGTCACACAAACGAGTTCCAGCGTCAACACAAACGAGTTCCAGCGTCAACAAAAACGAGTTCCAGCGTCCACACAAACAAGTTCCAGCGTCCACACCAACGAGTTCCAGCGCACACACAAACGAGTTCCAGCGTCAAGAAAAACGAGTTCCAGCGTCCACACAAACAAGTTCGAGCGTCCACACCAACGAGTTCCAGCGCACACACAAACAAGTTCCAGCGTCAACACAAACGAGTTCCAGCGTCAACACAAACGAGTTCCAGCGTCAACACAAACGAGTTCCAGCGTCAACACAAACGAGTTCCAGCGTCCACACAAACAAGTTCCAGCGTCCTAACCAACGAGTTCCAGC